TCTCATAAAATACCTCATGACCATTAGCTATTATTTTATATGAAGTCATCATTTTATAGTGTTTGGAAATTACTAAGGCATTGAAATAGGAAAAATGTTTTCGTGAAGAAAGACTCAGTTAGGAAATGAAGGAAATACTTGAGGAGGGTCAGTAGTTCTTATACCCATAATTTAGCTGCAGGTTTAGAGACATGGCCGTTATATAGGCATCTTGACCCTACCCAAGCCACAGAATTATTTGCGGATTAGTATATGTTGGGGCTTAAAGGGGCCCGATAATAACACTCTTGTTTTCTTCAACAAGCAATTGAGAGACGAGACAAGAGTAAGCAGGTAGAGAATAAAAATGCCGCCCTTATTAGTGATGAAACCACATTCTCTGCCAGGCATGGTGGCTCACACCTGTAATCCTAGCACTTTGGGAGGCCACAGTGGGTGGATCGCTTGAGCCCAGGAATTTGAGACCAGCCTGGGTAACATGATGAAATCCTGTCTCTACAGAAAATACAAAAAATTAGCTGGGAATGTTGGCCTATAGTCCCAGCTACTCAAGAGGCTGAGGTGAGAGGATTGCTTGAGCCCAAGAGGCAGAGGTTACAGTGAGCTGAGATTCTGCCACTGCACTCCAGCCTGGGCGACAGGGCGAGACCTTGTCTTAACGGAAAACAACCCCCACATTTTCCATGAATTTGAGGGATGAAGAAAAATGGGCATCCTACTACTGTGTATCCAAGATCTAGTGGCTCTGGGCCACAGCGGGCCTTCCTATGAGGGGCCCTGTCCCTGTCAGACATAGGCATGGTGGAGCAGAGCATCCCCTGTGCTTCCTGAGTGTAGCACCCAAGGGCGAAAGAAGGGGTTCACGTGCCCAGCTTGTCTCACAAATTCATCTCACAACTCACTCCCCTTGGGTGGGGGAGAAATGGGGGTGGGCGAGAGGTCAGCATTGCTTAGGATAAAGCCTTTATTGTGGAAACCAGAGGAGTGGGGAGCAAGTGCTGTCTTCCCCCTCAGTTTAAGTAGGTCATGGGGTGACAGTTCTTTCTTTGTAAACACAGAAAAAAGGATATCCTTTGCGATTTAGACTAGCAAGGAAATACAAAGGATGATTAGAGGGAGATTTGTAAAATCACTGTAACAGATAACTTTTTTTTTTTTTAGAGGGGGAATGGAGTCTCATTCTGTCATCCAGGCTGGAGTGCAATGGCGCGATCTCGGCTCACTGCAACCTCTGCCTCCCAGGTTCACATGATTCTCCTGCCTCAGCCTCCCAAGTAGCTGGGATTACAGGCGCCTGCCACCATGCCCAGCTAATTTTTGTATTTTTAGTAGAGATAGGGTTTTGCCATGTTGGCCAAGCTGGTCTCGAACTCCTGACCTCAGGTGATCTGCCCATCTGGCCTCCCAAAGTGCTGGAATTACAGGTGTGAACCACCACACCTGACTGATAACATTTGTTGAACACTTAAAATGTGCTACACACATTTTATTTATTTTTATTTTTATTTTTTTGAGATGGAGTCTCACTGTGTTGCCCAGTCTGGAGTGCAATGGCACAGTCTTGGCTCACTGCAACTGCCGCCTCCCGGGTTCAAGCAATTCTCATGCCTCAGCCTCCCAAGTAGCTGGGATTACAGGTGTGCACCACCATGACCAGCTAATTTTTGTATTTTTAGTAGAGATTTTACCGTGTTGGCCAGGCTGGTCTCAAACTCCTGACCTCAAGTGATCCACCCGCCTTGGCCTCTACACACATTTTACATAAACTAATTTAACCCTTTAATCTTCACAACAACCAGGTAAGGTAGGTTGGATTATCATCCCAGTTTTGCAGATGTGGAAACTGAGGCATAGAGAGGTTGAGGAACTTGACCAAGGTTATGGAGCTAGTAAGTGGCAGAGCTGGGATTTAAACCCTGGCAGTTGGCTGGGCGCAGTGGCTCACACCTGTGATCCCAGCCCTGGGAGGCCAAGGTAGGCAGATCACAAGGTCAGGAGTTCGAAACCAGCCTGGCCAATATGGTGAAACCCTGTGTCTACTAAAAATAATTAAAAAAAAATTAGCTGGGAGTGGTGGCGCGCCTGTAGTCCCAGCCATTTGGGAGGCTGAGGCAGAAGAATCGCTTGAACCTGGGAGGCGGAGGTTGCAGTGTGCCAAGATCTCACCACTGCACTCCAGCCTGGGCGACAGAGTGAGACTCCATCTCAAAAAAACAAAACAGAAGAATAAAAAACAAAAAACCCCTGGCAGTCAGACTGAGCGTTGGTAGACTGGCTTCAGGCGTTTAGAGGTATCAGCATATCTATAGTTCTATGTGTACATCTATACATCAGTCAGCGGGCCGGCCCGTGTGGAAAGGCTGGGACAGAGAGAGTTATGCAGCATTGGCATTTGTGTCTTGGCCACTGACACAGAGAGTGCACTGCGGTTTGCACTGTCCACAGAGAGTGCACGGCGGTTTGCAGTGTCCACAGAGAGTGCACGGCGGTTTGCATTAATCATTTGTGTAGGCAGCAGGTTTCTCCTTGTAACAGAACTTTAGTCCATCAAATTCATCTGGAAAACTCCTGTTCAGAGAAAGTGGAGTTTTCTAGATGAACTTGATTTGTATTTCAACAAAATACAACTACTGAATTCTGTTTCCGGGAAGGGAGTGGTATTCAGTTCCCCATCTGAACACTTTAATGCCCCTAAATAAAAACGAAAGACAGGGGCTCACAGAGGCTCATCTTAGAACAGGAACAAACTGAAGCATCGGCCTCCTCCCTTCATCTTGTAGACAGGGGTGGTGGTGTTAGGCTTTGTTATTCAGTGCCAGGATCCTGCTGTAGAGGTGACAACCACTAGGAAAGGGCCTAGAAACCAGCATTTGGTGTATGAGGGCATCCTCTGTAATGGTCCCAAATGAGACATATGGACCTGACTTCTACTTACCTCCTGCCGGTGATTTGGCCTTTGAAGAGAAAATGTGCTGATCACTGAACCCTGATATTTGATTTGATTGATAATTTTGTGTCCCCTGTTACATTAATGGTTAAACCTCCAGTTTTCCTATATCAGTCTCTTGCAAGTTTGGTTAATGTGAAATCAGTCCACTAGAGGCTGATGATACTAATAATCAGATGATTGATGACTGTGATAATAACTCTAAGGCATCAAAGGTTTAATTCATATCCCCTATCTAAAGGACATGGCATAGTATAATATATTTGGCCAGGTTCTTCACAGAACAAAACGTTTGTAGGATTATCTGGAAATCCAGACGTCCTCAAGGTCTGTGCAGCTGAATGTCTGCTCAGTGCAGACCTGGGACCTGGTGTCATGGCCTGTGCGATGGTGGGGCTTCCCTCGGCTCCTCTGGGCTTCCGTCTCCCCATAGACAGTGAGGGCTAATACCTGTTTATTTTGTAGGGTTGCTCTGAAGGTCATACATGGTATTTGTTAAGCATGATGCTTGGCATAAAGGTGTTATTCAATGGAAAACATCTGTTTTTTATTTTAATGGTGGCTTCAAGATTGCAGTGAGTTTTAGTCTACATTTACAAACAGAGATGACTGTACACAAAATAGCTCTTAAATAGCACCATAATCATGGGGCCTCTTCTCTATGTAGACAATTGAATAGATGTGCTATTTCCATAAGATTATTGGGACATACCTTTTTGAATCTTCTTAACATGTTTAAAAATGAGAATAGCTAATGATAAACATGACTCTTGGAACCAGTACCTCTTGAGGTGTGTTTTGCCGTGATGGGAAATTGCATTATATAGAGAAGTCTAATTGGATCACACAGATATTTGGGTAGTTTAGCAGACCAGCAAGGCTTTCAAAAGTTTCTTCATAATAGTGAAGTTAATGGGTTTTTTTTTTTTTTTTTATGAGACGGAGTCTTGCGCCATCGCCCAGGCTGGAGGTGCAGTTGTGCGATCTCAGCTCACTGCAAGCTCCGCTCCCGGGTTCACGCCATTCTCCTGCCTCAGCCTCCTGAGTAGCTGGGACTACAGGCGCCCACCACGCGCCCCGGCTAATCTTTTTGTATTTTTTAGTAGAGACAGGGGTTTCACCGTGGTCTCGATCTCCTGACCTTGTGATCCGCCCGCCTCGGCCTCCCAAAGTGCTGGGATTACAGGCGTGAGCACCGCGCCGGCGGTTTTGTATTTTAAACTAACTACCAAAGCTAGCTTCATAAAAGTGGGAAATCTTTAACTTGATGAAGTATCCAGTGTGTGTGTGCATGTGTGTGTGGGAGAGAGAGAGAGAAAGGTATTTTAGGGGGTTGTGAAAAGTTCCATAAGGCCTCATGGCACCTTTTCTCACCCATTCTAGGTTGCTGACATACATTTGCGCAAATAGTTATCCTTTGTCACTTTGCTTATTTGTGGAAATAAGGAATTGTCATATTTGTTTAAGAAGAGCTGGGAGGTCGAGTACAGTGGCTCATGGTTGTAATCCCAGCAGTTTGAGACCAGCCTGGCTAACATGGTGAAACCCTGTCTCTACTAAAAATACAACAACAACAACAACAACAACAACAACAACAACAACAAAGTAGCCGGGCGTGGTGGTGCACTCCTGTAATCCCAGCTACTCAGGAGGCTGAGGCAGGAGAATTGCTGGAACCTGGGAGGCAGAGGATGAAGTGAGCCGAGATCACGCCACTGCATTCCAGCCTGGGCGACAGAGCAAGACTGTGTCTCAGAAAAAAAAAAAAGAAGAGCTGGGAGCATGAACATAGAAAGTGGGAAGGCAGAGAGGTGAAGAGGCACTTAACAATTTGTTTAGGGTATGAGTAATAGTAGCTTTTCTTTTATCTTTTCCTGTCTGAAGCAAAAAGGCACCAAACTTGTAACATACGGTTCCTCAGAATTGCTTTTCTGATCAGATACAAGGCAGATTTTTCTCCAGGCTATGTGAATTATGAAATGTGTTTTAGTAGTTACTTTTAAAAGTAGTTTTGTTTTCCAAATAAAATACCATGATCTGTTCTTTCTTCCAGGGGCCCAGGAAGTTCTCATTGATCCAGGTACATGATCTATGTGTTCAGTTTCTTTTGGTTATTTTTTTAAGTGCTTGTTTCATGGTGATGTGAGTGAATGGTTAAAATTTCTGGATGATGATCTTTGGAATATTCTGATTTAAGTAACTTTAAATCAGAACTGTTAAAACCTGATGATTGATGGGTCCTTGCTTGATGGGCACCCCATTGCTTTATGTTATCTGTTGAAGAGGAGGCTTCGAGGAGGCTGCTTCCTCTAGCATGGCCAAGTGAATGATTGGAGAATTGTGCCTTTAATTCTTTGAATGCATTGAGCATGTTTGTCCTGTTAATTTTGAATTCATTTGTAATCATGACTTTGCTCTGATTTGTGGCTTGTGCTCCCTTCCACGTGAGTTCATTCTCTACTGCATTTCGTCTCTGTGTTCTTAACAAGAAAAAAAATCTTGTATTTTTTTTACAGAGGCAGATTTTTCTTTCCCTTTGTAATATCTTCTGTAATTAATACAGCAAAAACCTCTTTTATTACACTGCTTAATTATTTCATGATGGGCTCTATTATTTTCTGACTTAATGAGAAACAATGACAGGGTAAATAGTACAAAATGAAAACAGCCTAGAATTGAAATCAGATGGCTGTGCTTACGCAGGCTTTGTGACTAACACGTTTGCTTTCATCTCCTCGTGCATCTTGGCTCCGAAATGAAGTTGCCTCAGGTTTGCAGGCGTTGGTTTTAATATTTGCATTTACTCCTTTCTCTAGGCCAGTGGCTAAGTTTCCTGATGGGGTTTGTGGAATGTGTAGAGAAAGGACAATAAATGCTCAGTTTGGGTTTCAGGAGAACTGAGTTGCTGATGAGAAGACATCTGGGGGACAGTCAAGAGGGTAGACTTTATGCCACGGAGGTGCGGAAAGGCCCGCCAACACTGATGACAAATGAAATGGATGTTGAATGTACTGGTATTTGACCAGTACGAGTTGCTGAGCCCCAGTTTGGCTGGTTATGCCTGCTATAAAATACCGCATTGCAGTGTGTCAGTTGCATTAGTTGTAGGAGAATTAGATGTGTCCACCGTATAGAAGTAGCTCAGAGCTGTAAGGAAAATCAGGCGTTTGTTGAGATAAGGCATTTAAAAAAGATTTCTGAAGCTTTTCAAGATAAGGTTGTGTAGAGGTGAAATTGAGTTTAGAGTGCTGGGAGGAAAAGTGAGGAGATTCTGTAGGGCTTTGTTATTCAAGGGTGCATCAGGGCCCTGCTGTAGAGGTGAAAACCGCCAGGAAGGACCCAGAAACCAGTGTTTGGTGTGTCAGGACATCCTCTGTCATGGTCCCAAATGAGAAACGTGTGGACCTGACTTCTCTTTACCAATGGGAGAGCGAGTAAAGAGAATGAAAGGCCGTCCTGGCCCCACGTTCTGATTCCTGCTTTCCAGGCCACCCCAGTTCCTGCTAATGCCTTCTGGCCTCTGCTTGCGGAGACCTTTGTATCAGGACTGACTCGCTACTGAAATCATATCTGCGTTTCAAGCGTTGGTCGTTTCTAAACCCTTGCAAATGTGTTAGCAGTGACAGTGCTGGTAGGGAATCTTCCCAGCTCCTAGGAGCAATGCAATTTGCTTCTCCACAGCCTCTGCATCTGAATAGCTAACACTCTTTCAGGGGTTGTAAAAGTGTTCAGCTCCTGGAAAACCCATTCACATGAAGCTATCACAAAATTACGTCACTTTCATTTCATTTTTGAGTTTTAAATGGACATAATGTTTGAAGCAAGCTGTTTCCAAATTCTTTTCCTACCAGCTTTCCCCACCACTGTTTCCAAAACCAGAAGAAGAGTTTCACGGTTTCCGGGGGGGTCCTCCATCTCTTATCCTAAGAACTAAGCTTCCCCTCCCTGCATTTCTAGCAGCTAGGCCTTTGTGTTCTTTATCTGCATTTTTAAAGTGGCATGATTCTTAAAACTCTTTTTTCTTTGTTTTTTTTTTTTTTTTTTTTTTTTGGGAGACAGGTTCTCACTCTGCCGCCGCGGCTGGAGTGCAGTGGTTATTCACAGGCGCGAACCTAGCTCACTGTGCCCTCAAACTCCTGGACTCAGGCAGTTCTCCCACCTCAGCCTCTGGAGTAGCTGGGACTACAGGTGTGCACCACCATGCCCAGCTAATGTTTTAATTTTTTCATAGAGATGGGGTCTCTCTGTGTTGACCAGGCTGGTCCTGGCCTCAAGCAATCCTCCTGCCTTTACCTCCCAAAGTGATTACAAACGTAAGCCCCTGTGCCTGGCCTCTTTTTTTTTTTTAAATTTAATTTCTAAACATTTCATGTACATTCAGCAGCCACTTTACATAAAATGATCTTTTGGATAATTTTAGTTAACTCATAGTTGCTTTTTCCATTTTCATGTTGAGGAGAGTTTCTTCTTCCTGTAATAAAAATTAGCAGTTTTCAGTTATTATGTGACAGACAATGTTCTAAGGTGCTTTTTTTTTTAAAAACAAACAAACTAGTTTCAATGCAGTTTACCTATTTAAAGGGTAAAATCCAGTCATTTTTAGTATATTTACAGAGTTGCGCAACCCTCACCACAGTCAGTTTTAGGACATTCTTATAACCCCAACAGGAAGCCGTGTACCCGTTAGCAGTCACTCTCCTTTGCCTACGTCCTTCCCTTACCCCCAAGCAACTAGTAAGCTACTTTCTTTCTCTATTATTTGCCTGTTCTGGACTTCTCATATAAATGGCATCATACATATAATGGTATGTCGTTTTTGTGACTGGCCTCTTTCACTTACTGTATGTTTCAAGGTTCATCCGTACAGCATGTGTCGGTATGCATTGTGTCAGTATGCATTTATTTTTCTTCTTGCAGAATAATATTTCATTCTGTGTACGTGTGTGTGTGTGTGTGTGTGTGTGTGTGTATATGCCACATTTTGTTTTTCTATTCCATCAGTTGATGGACATTTGTATTGTTTGTACCTTTTGGCTATTATGAATAATGATGTTATAAACATTTGTGTGGACATATGTTTGTTTGATTTACTGATTGGTTGATTGATTGATTGAGATGGAGTTTTGTTCTTGTTGCCCAGGCTGGAGTGCGTTGGTACAGTCTTGGCTCACTGCAACATCCGCCTCCTGGGTTCAAGCAATTCTCCTGCCTCAGCCTCCCAAGTAGCTGGGATTACAAGCGCTTGCCACCAAGGCTGGCAAATTTTTTTTGTGTTTTTACTAGAGATGGCATTTCACCATGTTGGCCAGGCTGGTCTTGAACTCCTGACCTCAGGTGATCCCACCTCAGCCTCCCAAAGTGCTGGGATTACAGGTGTGAGCCCCCGTGCCTGGCCCATATGTTTTAAATTCTATTATGTGTATGCCTTGGATGGGGAGTTGCTGGGTCATATGGCAACTCAACATTTAACTTTCTCAGAAACTGCCAGATTGTTTTCCAAAGTGGCTGTAACACTTTACATTCCTACTAGTAATGACTGCAAGTTCTAATTTCTCTGCTTCCTTGTCAATACTTGTTACCTTTTTGATTGTGGCCATCCTGGTGGATGTGACCTGGTGTCTCATTGTAATTTGGGTTTGCATGTCCCTTATAGCTAATGATGTGCATCTTTTCATGTGATTATTGTCATCTCTATATTTTCTTTGAAAAAATATGTATTTAGATAGTTTCCCATTTTTAAATTGGGTTGTCTTTTTGTCTTTTTATTGTTGAGTTGTAACAGTTTCTTTGCTTTTTTTTTTTTTTTGTGAGACGGAATCTTGCTTTGTCACCCAGGCTGGAGTGCAGGGGCGTGATCTCGGCTCACTGCAACCTCTACCACCTGGGTTCAAGCGATTCTCCTGCCTCAGCCTCCTGAGCATCTTGGATTACAGACACTTGCCACCATGCCTGGCTAATTTTTGTATTTTCAGTAGAGATGAGGTTTCGCCATTTTGACCAGGCTGGTCTCAAACTCCTGACCTCAGGTGATCCACCCACCTCGGCCTCCCAAAGTGTTGGGATTACAGGCGTGAGCCACTGCACCTGGCCAGTAACAGTTTTTTATATATTCTGTATATGAGTCCTTTATCTGATGTATGATTAGCAAGATTTTTCTTTCATTCTGTGTGTTATCTTTTCATTTTCTTGATATGGTGTCCTTTGAAGCATACAAGTGTTAAATTTGGATGAAATCCAGTTAATGTTGTCTTTGTTCCTGTGCTTTTGATGTCATATCTGCGACTTAAGATGCTATATATAAACTTTACACCTAAAGCAATATAATCTTCACGATTCTAGGAGACAGGTACTGTTGTTATGCCTAATCTATAGATGGGGAAACTGAGATGCAGGAAGGTTGTCTGACTCGCTGAGGGTCATAGTTAGTAAGTGGTGAAGTGGATATTCAAACCCATGAGTTTGCACCCAGGATTTATCCTCTTAACCACCATGCTCTATTGCTTTTTATAGGGAATCATTTATTGAAAACTCTTTGCTTATTTGATTTCTTGCCTTTTTTTTTTGTCATGAGGGACCTCATCTCTTCATTCACCTTGCAGAGTTCAGTGTAGGTTTATTTTGGTCTAACGCAGGCAGAATCATTACTATCAGTTAATTTCTGCATTACTTACTCTCCAGTGATGGTCGCTGCTAGTTGACCTAACAAAGCCATTTAAGGCTTTTCTGCTCATCACACTAATAAAAGTAGCACCACGACTATGGAAAGTTCAAAAACAGTATTTGATTGATTCCATTTCGTTAGCTAAAGGAAGAAATCCCCAGTGTTGACGCAGATTGTAAGCCTTTCCAGAATAGGGTTGTTGTCTTCCTTTTTTTCCTGTTGTTCACTCATAGTGTCCAGCATAGTGCCTCATTGTCCAGCGGATTAGCTAGAGTATGGCGGTCTTCAGTCACTGTGTACAAGACAGAATATTGACAACAGTATCTGTTGTTTGTTTCACAAGGGAAAAAGTCATATAGAAGTATCTCTCAGAGGTATTGAAAAAGCCTGGCATTTTTAAAAGACTTCCAGAAAACAAA